CCCCCCCCCCCCACTCTTCCTCCCTTAAGCCTCAATAATTAGTTAAACAGAAACTCAATGCTCTAAAAACTCCGAAGTAGGAAAGAAATGAAAAATGATATTACTAATGATACAACTAATGCAAATAAAAATGAGTTACCTTTACGCTGCACCGAAGGTTCGGCACGTTGTCGCGTCATTCGGCTTACAAGATCTGTTTCAGAAGATGTCGCAACTGCTGCTTCTGTTTGCGCAACCTGTCCAGCCACCTGCAAAGAATACATTCCTGAACTCTTTATAAAATTAAAGTTTAAATATTTTGTAGAAAAGCGCCTTCTTGTTGCTAATCACCTAAGCAGTCCTCGAACTACAAAAAAAGAATCAAAACCCCAAAAAAAATTTACTTCTCGTCATTCACAATTTATTACAGTCAGTCAACGCAAACTCCAAGCATTTATGCATTCAAAGGTGTTTGTTAGATTTTGATCCTTTTGAGAATTAGTATCTTTTGAGTGAGATGAAAGATATCACTGCGACTATGCGAGAAAGTAAAATCCGATGGGCACGTCACGTTGCTCACCTTGCCGACAGTTGATGGCCATCACGTATTAGGAATGACAAACGAGACGAAGTAAACAACAACTCGGAGCAGCCCCAGAAGTGGTACTGCACAAACATCGGATAGGGTGGTGGATCAGAATTTATAAAGCTTGTAAATGGCTGCATCCGACAGTAACATTACTGACCTGGGATATCTACAATGACAGTGAGTTTTGAAAGCAACGACATACAAATGCGAAACATAGTCACAGACAAAAGTAGAACAATAAAGACTGGTTCTGTTGGAGAGATCAACAAAATGAAAAATGCTTACCTTATCTCAGTAGTTTTCCGTTTTTTCAAAACTGGACCTAATTTCAGTGCAAAAGAAGAAGTTAAACAAATAATTATAAAACCAGATTATCAGCGAAAGGAAATTTTTTACAACCCCTACTGAAAAAGAGACGACTTACTCGTGATGCAGCAGCAGAAGCAGTAGCAGCAGCAGCAGTTGTCCTAGGTGCAGCATCAGCCTGAGTACGCTTGATACCGATCAGACTCTGACCCGCGAGCGTAGAAGATGCTGGAGAGGGAGTTAGTCCAGCCCTGGCAACCGACGGTGGAAATTCCTTCATCGCTCCTTTGCTCACCGGGCCGGCACTGGATGAGGTGCGTTCGTCAACCACACTTCGTACAATCACACCAGACGATGGAGCTGGAGCAGCAGAAGCGGCAGCAGTGGCACTGCCAGCATTTCTTCCTGGAAGAAAATATACGAAACTCACGCGAATTACTCCTTCACATGGATGTTTTTTGAAAGTATAATCAAGCAAAATTCAAACTTGACCACTCAGTTTGTAGGTGAAGATCCTGAACTCATTCCCATGGAAAATTTTCTCATGTAGATCAAGTTAACTACACAACGAGTGGGATAAAACCTCATCCATTTAACGCCTGTTCTCGTATATATGTCACAAGTCACGAATACTTCCCTAAAGGGCACACGTGGAACACTTCGACCGATTGTAATTCCTAGCCTCGATGAATCGTTAACAGTTTTACCAATTTCCATGATATAAAAGCACTCTTCCCCACTTCCTGAACTGAATTTTCTGGTATAAGGCAAAAACGAACCAGTTGAGGTTTTTAGTACTTCCCCATAAACTCTCAAATAATGCTGAGCTGCCATGCGTCGTTCATTCAGTCGTTCCATGGTTTGTAAATGTGCTCGGGCCGCTTCACTATCTTGCGATAACACAGCATGGGGATAATCAATTTGTGACAGTCGGCTCAGCTGTTCATTGATACTCGCTTGTTCCTGTAGAAAGCACTGTGAACAAAAGCAGCCGAAAAAAACTTTTTCATTAAAAAAATCAAAAAAACAACAGGTATTTCATTACATATTCACCTCCTTTGAGAAGCGGAAGCATTTGGAAGTAGCCGCTGTTTCCAACAGTCACCCACTGCAGGGCTGTCGACAGTTTCCTTTTTAAAAAGCAAAATTTTTGTAGTTTTGTCTTCCTGACATGTTTCATTACTAATTTACCACCAAAATGAATGAATCAACAAATTGTAGAAGGATTTTTTTGTTATCTCCCTGGCAAAGTAGAGTCCTTTATCTACTGAATGACAGCACTGCTACCTGCTATTGAACCACATCCCTCCGATAAAAAATGGGTAATCAAAAAGATCAAAGATGAAATTATAACGATGGAGATACGAAAGAATGGATTAAAAATTTTACCTCAATAACACGACGCCGACTTTCTTCCAGAAATCGCAACTCATCCAACTAAAAAAAAAAAAAAAAAAACAGTAAAATAGCAACGAAACAAAAAGGAAGAATTTTGCGATGGATGAGTTTTGCTTTATTCATTATTATAGCAGGGTTCACTAAGCCAAGTCTGAAATCTTTTGGCCGCCCTTAAGCAAGGAACATTCCCTTAAAATTTCAGCTCTCTAGGCTTTCTCGCTTTCCTGTTAGCAATTTTCCCGCCAAAACTTTCACGTGTCTGTACATGAGACGCAAGAGTGCGTGAAAGTTAATATCATGTTTCTGGGATCGTACTTCGCCAGGGAAAACACTGGCAAAGTGCAGCATCAAAGTTTGCCTGGCTGTCGAGTAGAAATATTTGGACAGACGAGTACATACATACATAAACACACACAAAACCATACACAAAGGGTCGCCATATTATGTTTTTGCTGACTGTTGCAGCACTCTGCCGCTGCACCGCAAAATCGCATAATAAAACTAAGGCAAAAAAAGTGAATCAGTGAAAAAATTACTCGTTTCTGCTGTGCATCCATCTGTCGCGCACTCTCATCTTTACGCATTTGTTCAGCATTACGAAAATCACTGTACAATTGGTTAACTGCTGTTGTGATTGGACGCAGCTGCTGCTGCTGCTCACCAATCGTTTTACTGGGCAAATTAGTTGCTGATGCTGCTGTTGCTGTTGTGACCAAGGCTTGCTTTGACCGTTTCTGTTGTTCAAGTGGAGCAGTTTGGCGTACATTTACAGCCGATGCTACTGCTGCTGCAGCTAGCAGTGGATTTGCAGCTGCAGCATGCTGCACGTTGCTTGCTTGCTGCTGCTGCTGCTGTTGTTGTTGCTGCTGCGCTCGGATACCTGCCGCTGCTGCTGACTGCTGCACTAAATGTTGCCAGATCTGAAGAGGAAAACGTTGACAGCCATATTATACAAAGCATATTTAAAAGATTTAACCACGAAAACAGGCAATCCATTCGGACGACGGTAAATCACGATCGCCAGCACGGTGATCATCAGGCGAAGCAGAAACACTGGTCAAAGTAACTCGGAAAGTTGTCAGCTGCATAGTTGGAAAACCACACTGTGAACTATAGCAGGTCAAAATATTTCAAAAAAAACCAAAACATAATTCAAATTCCTTCCTCCTCAATATCATATCAAATTTTAAGCACTGTGATTTGCGAGCACTGCAAAACAGCAAAAAAAAAAATCCTACTGTCATCTTAAAAAAAAAACACAGTAAAAACTTACCAAAAGTTTTGCTTGATCATTTGCAAGAGCATTTAGTTGTTGTTGCTGCTGCTGTTGTTGTTGGACACTTTGAGCTGCTTGTTGCTGTTGCTGCAGTTGCTGTTGTTGTTGCTGATGCTGCTGTTCTGCAAAATGCCAGAGCCATCTTTTACAACCCATACAAGTAAAATTAATCTAACGTCTGTTGTTCATAACGGCAGCAATAACAGTGATAATAATAATAATAATAATAATAATAATAATAATAATAATAATAATAATAATAATAATAAT